GCAATCAGAGATTATGTCCAGCACAAATTTTAATTGTTGGAGATCTTCAATACATCAATCTCCTGAATATAGTAACAGAGGGAAGTGTAATTTGTCACTTCTCACAATAAAAGATTCTTGATGTTCTCATTGGGTTACTTGGCTCATATTTTTTCAATTTTTCTTACAATTGGTCAAAGGCAATTTTGACTTTTTTTAGTGCAAGCATTGCTTGAAATTGGGCACAGGCAGACTCTTGTCACTGTTTCCTCTGTTTTCAATGACTTGGCAAATGCCTGAGGTAGTACTTGCTGACAGTTTATATTTTGATAATATCTAAAGTAGCAATATGAGTGCATGTGTTCTCACATCCACTGGAAGAATACTCTATACTGCCATAAGGCTCTTTGTTTTTCATATGCACAAATCAAACAAGATCTATATTCTTGTGCAGGAACTGGACCATTTGTTGCCTCTGTCTTATTTTGATAATTTTCTGTACTTTAAATCAGTTTTGATTATAAGCTGTTTTACATTACCACATGTGCTAAGTCATTGAAAAGGGAAGCTTTACTCACAAGTGTCTCTTGGGTGTAATTTCTTGCAATGCTTGCACTGTTAAGAAGTATACTGATTTAGGGAAGAGATCTATTTTAGAAAATGGTTGAATTAATGTTAAATATGTATGTATGTTCTATTCTTTCACATGATGTTTCAAAGTTTGTCTGTTTTATACCACAATTAAGATTCTTAATAACTGTAAAATCAAGTAGTGTAAAAGGTTTTTACATAAACAATATCTAGACCCTAATAAATGAGTGTTTGAAAGATAAAGTATATGGTGTATTTTCATTATTTGACTGTAAGGGGGAAAATCAGTATGGAGAGGAAAGAGCCCTCTACTTTTGAAGTGGCCCACATTGGAGCTGAATTGACTCTTTTTAAAGGGGCCATTTGTGAGAGGGCTGAAATTTTGAGGGCTGTTTTGGCCCCTATAAATTTCAAAGTAGCCCCTGTATTTTCAAATTCACCCTTCACGTGGTCCAATTTGGCCCCTACAACGGGATCGATTCAGCCCCAAAATTGGTGCCAAAAACAGCCCCATTTCAATGGGGCCGAATTGACCCTAAGCGAGTACCAAACTTGACTCACTCGTTTTGGCCCCATTTTTGGGGCCAAATCAACTCTTTTAATTTTACAGTGTACGGTTACACGTAGGCTATAAAAGGAGGCATACCGCTTAAATTGTTGCAAGTTGTAAAAGTGATTTATTTTGAGCAAAACGTTTCCATTTCACCCTGGGAAGGAGGGTACGGCTACACGTAGGCTAAACAAAGAGGCATACCGCTTATGCCACCATGCATCTGATGGCATACAGACATAAAACCAACTATATGCATAGAAATGTGAGACGCATCTAGAAAACGCTTTATGAAAATAATAATTCTGCGAAAATAGCCTAAAATAAAGCACGTAGATATTTTTAAAAGAAGGAGGCATACCACTTAAAGTGCTGCAAGTTGCAAACGTACACATATACACCATATGGCGAATCAAAAATCACGTCTGAGGTCAATTGGATGCCACTCAAGATTTGCCATGAAAATGAAAGGCGTTGCCTTTTCGCCTGTCTCGTTTAGAAGCTTCTTAAGACACAACCTTATCGTGATATGCAAACTAAGCATTTTTGCTTTGATTCACATCGCGCACTCAAAACAGGCTTGAAAAAGGAAAACAAAAGTCTCATTCAGCGAGTGGTTATGGCTATCGGTCACATCCTGAGGAGAGGAAGTGTTTTTATAAATTACATCAATTCAAGCAGCGATTTCATGTGGACCCTCAAGGTAACTTAAACAAAACAGTCTCAATTATACCTTAAAAGAAGCTTCATAAAAGAGAGAGAGTGAGAAATTGTGTTATATGCTTCTAAGATTTGTCTTCATGGTACAAATAATTATTTAAAACTTATACCCTTTGAATTTGGTTTACATATGGTGGGTTAAAATATGCTGGGATATCTTTCAAAATCTGTCATATCCAGAGAGAAATATTTAAAAATTAGAATAAAAAGGATTACTAGGCAGATTTTCAGACAAGAGTTGACTCAAAAGTGTAGTTGTATTTTGTCAGCCTTGATATGATTTCAAGTTCGCAAATAAAAAGTACATCCTTCACCATGTTTGCTTTTGCACGCAATCGAAGCCAGCATCACACATGTTGTAATAATATTGTACAGCAGGAGAACCCTTTCTCCAGATTATCACAAAGAAAGAAAGCAGTCTTTGTTAGAGATACATGCTCAAATCATTCCAGTTCAAGCTTGGCGAAACGAGTTCGGTAGAAAATTGAAACTAAGGGAGAGAGAGAGAGAGATAACGAAACCTCTCTCTCCTCATTCCGATCAAAATACTAACATTTATACAACTTGATTTGGATGATTTATTTTTCCAAGTTCGAGGTTGTAATTTAAGGAGTTGTCAAGAGAGACTGAAAGTTTCTAAGTGAACAACAGCTCTACAATTTACATTTGACAAAAATACGTTTAATGACGAAGCAAAGATGGCGGCCGTTGAAAACCAAGCATGAAAGTTTGCATGCACCGCATGTATACTTTTCCCTTCAAAGACCATTTAACGCGTTGGAAATATTCCATAAATATAGATGTGTATGAACGGCAAGGGATTTCTTAGCATTCGATGTTTGCTTTCGGGCTCATCTTGCGCAGGCCACTCGAGTATCTTGCTAATTCGAGCCTTTCGGAGAGGGTGCGTATGTTCCCTGTAAAATTAAATTAAGATTAGTTTACGATATGCTTTATTTTGTTGAAATATATACGCAATTTACACTAATATATTTGGCAAAGCAGGCTGCCCAGCTGCATGCTATAAGCAATACAACGTTCTAACCATAAATGACCGTCGCTACATTCCTCGAAATTTCTCTGCATCTGCTGATTTTCCAAACGAAAGTTCGGCTATAAACCCAGGACTGTTATTACCAAGTTTCAAAAAAAAAAAAAAAAACACTTTCAGTCATAACTTATTTTAAATGTGAATGTTGCCATTATTTAAAAAGAAGGACTGGAAGTCTTGTTTTAGCCTGACTAATTAACTTTCAAGAGAAAATTTAACTTGAGCTGTTGTTGTTAACAACGAACATACGTCTTGGCAATCTCTTCATCTTTTATGGTTGTGTCGTACACAGACCGTTCAAAATTTTATCGGCGTTTGATATTCTTTCACTCTCTACATGAATTAAGTTTCATGGCGCAGGAATGTTTAGAATTAAAATCCGCAGTCGCTCATGCGAGGGCATAACCATAGCAAATTCAAAACCAGTTGTACTCGAAACGGTTTCTCAGACTGCATTCCGCACTGGGTCAAACACGCAAAAGTTTGCTGTACATATATTTCTTCTTACACTACCGTTGGACCAGTTGGACTTTCCCTTTATTCATTACCATATACGTGTAAGAACAGAATCGCTACCGAAACTATTCGAAAGTCGAAATCATTTATGCATCTGTGTTCAAAGACATTTCAAAATCATTCGCAACAGGGTGAGTTAATGTGATAGTTGTAACAATAAAATCAAAGAAAAAGATAATATGAGTATGTACCGATTGAGTGAACAATTTCAGAAAGCCTAAGGAAACAAACTTGCCTTGCCATCAGCAAACTAAACTTACAAATTATCTGAAAGAAGGCAGCTGTATGAAATATACTCACCTGACCGTCCCTTTCATTTGAGTTCTCGCTGAAGATCTGATGACTTCATTTCATAGACTAGATTCACTCAGATTCACTGCCGGTTTGAATAAAAGCTAATATTCGCAAACTTCTCTCTAAATCCCTAAACAGTTAGAACAGAATATTCAAAAGTATCTACTTTCATCATGGCACCGAAAGAAACCACAGGAATAACTTAACATGATATTGAAACCGAAAACACAATTGAAGTTTATAAAAGGTCCAGCCATTGTTCAAGCGGTCATGCCTGAATAGCGGCTGCTATAATTACATGTCCGTATTTCTATATTACGAACGTTCTGATTGGTTGATAACGTGTACACCAAAATTATGTAAAAAAATAAATAAATAAATAAATAAATAAAAGAATAAAATAAATATAAAGGACACCATACTCGTTCAAAAGCTAAAGGTCATGGTATCTCCAGCAGAGGATGTGCAGTGCAATACTAAGGAATCACCTTAAGGAGGCTCCATAGGGTCTTTGATCAATGTTGCACGCGCGCCAGCGTACTGTTTTTCTATATAATTTTTATGTTTCCGCTTTTCTAGGTCAATAAAAGCCACGAAAAGGGCAATGAGCAAGATTCGGACCATCGTTTGCTGTAGTAAATGATATCAAAATGATTTTAGCTATCAAGCCAAGGCTCCACGAGTGGGAGGCGCTCGCCAGTGATAATCTGGCTTTGCCTTTGATTTTCTTCAATTTGCTTCGGTGAAATCTCAAAATTGTCCCAATTTGTGAAATTTTTCCTGCCGATCATTTAAAAGCCGAAAAGTGGTTTTAAAGGCAGTTTCCTCACTATTTGAAACATTACATAATAATTAAAACTGAATATACTTTACCTCCAGATCGGGACTTGCAATTCCCTGTCGAATGCACAGGAGAATCTCGTGATGTTTGGTGGTATGAGTCTTTGGAAATGAAAGGTCAGTACAGTATATAATAGCATTGAAAAATTGAGTTAATGTCACCAGTATGGGGGACGATTACTTTTTTAAAGGTATTGTAAATCGAATAAGAAAAATGCGTTCATCAAGCAACTAAATTTTTAAACAAAATGGTACGCTTATCCAAGGAAGCCTTACATTCATCATTTCAGTTATACCATTTACCCATCTATTATTTATTGCAGAGTTGTAACTCCAGATGGCCATGTATATAGTTCATGGATGTCTTCGTATGGTTCATAGAAATATCTTATTGAAGAAAAATTTGAACATTTTTCTCAACGAATTGTTTAGTCGATCGAAGTGAGATTTTATCAACCTTCGGATCTGGTAGAGTCTACTTTTTAGTCATCTTAAACGCGAAAAAGAAGAGGGATTTTGTAAATAAGTAAGTTCTGTTAAGATAAAATATATTTTGTCATGCTAGCCTTTAATAAACACAGAAACTTTGCCAGGAGGTTGAATGAAGTAAATATTTAACGGCACAGTGCAAATGATCGCCCATGGGACTACAGATCTCGGGACAGAGTTGAAAGTTTTACGACAAAGTTGATTGAATACTTGGTCTCCTCATAATGTTTTTTAAGATTGAAATCTTAAGCGGACATTTTTCGATCAACTTAAAGCTAAACCGTTAAGCAACCCTTCGGTTGTCAGAGCTCGTCAGAAATTTTAACAACCTAAAGCTGTCGCACGCTTTCCAAACAACTTCTTACCAAATACAGTTGGTGCTCGATAAAACCTTATTTGTAGCGAACTGTGATTTCACGAAATGTAAGGCTTATTTGTGGAATACCTTCACCAACCATCTCTGGAAAGGCACCTAATTTAGGGATGTTTTGTGAATGTTCAGTTATGTTCGTTTGTCCTGTTAAGGTAACATATTTCTTTTGCAGAATTTTCTATAGGTAAAATTTGCAGTTTTCTTCAATACAGTTCTTTTGTTTCCTTGATACTGGATCGCAATTGCATCACTCATACAAAATCTAGTCTTGTTTCTTGTATGGTACTTAAATAGAAAAGTGATTTATTACGAATAAATGTATTCAGATGGTTTGCCTGTAAAATAAATTGAGCTTATTTGCAAATTTTGATTAATAGAAGGAGCTCAAGAATCCTATGTTTAGGCAGCATTGAAAGAAACAAACTAAATAAGCTGCAAACGCAGACGTTTCCTACAATTATTATTGGCTGACCGATTTCGTGAAACTTTTTAGTGTTAGTTTAAAAACTTGTAAACTTGACCGGCAAAACAACTAAGATTTGCTTTTATGTAGGAAAATTACAGGAAGATATGTTTTTAGAGAGACCACCATTTTGAATAAAGAACGATCGTATCAAATGTTATGATCTTTGAGAGTCTATTTCCAGTTTCTGTCTTAATACTTCGTACTTGTATATGTAGTGAGACTCTGAGCGGAAACAACCAGCTCTTAATACATAATATCATTTCGCATGAAGTATATACTGTATTATTTTTTAATAGTAGACTAATCTGGACGTAACTCTGTTCGCCGGTTAAAAATTCCGGTGAAGAAACTTAATTTGGTTGGCAGAATCGATGACCTATATAAGGATTGACAACTCTGCTTACCTGATGGTAACTTTTATTTCGACCGAATTTGAGCAAACGATACCTTCGAATTATGATTGCAGGGTAGATAACGCTCACTCCAAACACAGGTTGCATCATTCGGCGTCATACTTATCAGCCTTGAATGATAAACTTGTTAGTACAAGAATTGCACTTTGTTGTTAGTACACACATCGTTAAATCAAATTAGGGTTCGACCAAGTAACGTTTTAAAATCTTTAGTTTCCCTTCAATCGTATGAACGTTATGCCACTTGTTGCTACTGAACACATTCCATAAGCCATTGCGAATGATAATGCAAGAAAGATGTGTTTTATTTCAATAATAATCATAATAATAATACATTTTTTTTAACCAGGGTGACCTCTTCAGCATAAAATGCTGCTATGCTATGCTGCTATAAGGGCCCTGCAAAAAAAAAAAAAACTGAAAAAAAGCCTAAATACAGTCACCAACTTTAAAAGTAATTAGAAATTTTGGGATCTATAGAATTCCAAAATTAAGATTTGCATCTATTATCACACCAAGGTATGTAATGTTGTGCTTGATTTATCGGATTCTCCCGGAGGAATAAGCTAAATGGCCCGTTTGACAAGGTAGCCGAAGCGATTCGTCGTTGAGTGCCAAAAACAACGTATTCGGTCTTTACATTCAAGGCTTCAAGTCTAGGCTTTACTTGCCCTATATTAAGGTAGTCTGTACTCATCATAATAGCTCTTTTATTGAAAAACATTTTCATGGTACTACTACATTATCATAGTTCTAATCTGGTACGTGAACTATGTTTGGTCAGTTTAGCGGGTCGTAGTTCACTGCACAGCCCGCTAATTTCAAATTTCCCCACGTCTCGGAAGTTCGGAAAGTCGCAAACTCTCAAACACACAGTTAGTTATACAACTAACTTATTCTTATCTTTCTTTTCACCATGCTCCTACCAATAGCGTGGCTCCATTTTCTGCATATAAGTACACACACAACCCATAATTTCCCCATTCGCTCTGAGGAAAGGCTAGCGCTCGGAACGTCAGATTTTAAACTCCTTATAGTGGCCAATTATTAACTCAGTTGATAATACTATTTTATCTTATTTCAAGTATTATACCTCCTACATCGACCAACCATCGACTTGACATGTCCAGTATATGTTTTTGCCGCCACTCAGTGACTCCTTCTTCAACGAGGAAGGAGAAACTGCGGAAAAGGATTATTTAAGTTATACACTCTTGACATCAGATGCTAATGACCCTGATAATATGCTTTTGCTCCGTCCTAAGAGAACAAAAACTTAATTAATGACCCTTCTCGGGAATACAGTCTCTTTCTCCAAGAAAGGGAAAAATAATCGAATCAGATCTTCATCACCTATTTTAATATAAACAACTTACAAAACAAATGTGATGAGCTGAAACGTTTGAACAATGAGATGAAATCCCACATCATTTTCATCTCAGAAACTAAAATCGACAATTCGTATCCCAAAGGCCAATTTACCTTTTCAGGCTACACATTGTATCACCCCGCAGAGGTCGAAAGAAAGGAGATGGGGGACTTATAGGACACTTGGACTCCAACCTGCCCTCAAAGGAGCTCAATAAAGGTTACCTAAGCATACAAAAAACTTGCAGCAAATACATCACTCTAGTGGAATTGTACAGCCCCCCTCCCGCCTAAGGAAATGCGGCTGTCAGCAAGTTTTACATTACTTAGAACGAGTAGAGGAGGAATTAAACGATATCTGTATGTGGGCGTCACTTAAGTGTCACACGTTCATACTTATCGGTGATCTAAATCTGGATAGAACGCTCGGAAGGTGGAATTCTTCCTTACGCGATTGGTTTAAGTTTTGATTCTGACTGGTTTAAAAAGTGGCGCACGTTTTCCGGAACAAGCACATAGTGTAGTGAAGGAAAGCCAAGGTAATATGGCATCACATTCGACACTCAAATAAAAAATTTCCCTATTCGCACTGCATTGATTTGGATTCTTGGAATAAGCCAGTGGGTAATCTATCTGGAAGTCATATTAATAAAGGGGGTACGTTTTTGCAGAAACCGTGGTGCTGCGTTGGTGGGAGGGTGTAACAACTTCGTGAAACAAACAACAAAAAAACGAGAAAATGTTCCCGTCAGTTTTCAACGTAAATGTTAGAGTTCTTTGACGTGATTGGCTCATTTGGTTCTCGCGTACTGGATTTTTTATTGACATTGAAAGAAAATTTTTGTTTCAAACTTTTCGTAGGTGTCAATTTCCACACAAGTTTTCCATGTGTATGACCCCGATAACTTGGATGAGCAAGACTGCCATCATCATCCCGGCTGTAAAAAATCCATCTACGAAAAAAGAGGCTAGAGTCTAAACCCCCGTGTGAATTAACCACAACATTTGGCTGAAATAAAAACTCCGAAACTTCTTAAAATTCCAAACAAAGGAGTAACAAATTTAAGCGAACGAAAACTTGGATATTGAATCTAACATAGCGCATCAGCGTACTCGATGGATTCTTATTCAAATTTTGACAATGCTATTTGCTGTACAGAAGTTGGGTTCCGGCTTAATGTATATTGACTTTTGTTCACCCTGACTGTCCTACCCAGACGGTGAGAGATTTCATGTCCCCAAGGTAAATGTTTTGCCTCTTCATTGATTATGTTGGATAACTGGGGAATGTAATGTTGAGTAGTAAAAACTAAAGCAGAACTTGTCAATGCTTGGTGGATAATAAGTGTTATACTGATAATTTTATGAAAATTAAACCAGGATGCTAAACGGTGATTGAGCTTTAGTGTGAAAAGTAAAAATAAAGCGGAGAGTGGTGTCAAGAATAATTCCTCTCTAGCAAGAGAATTTCGTCCGCCATCTTGTTATACTTTTTTAATGAACTTCGTTTTTCTTGTAGCCGGCAATCGCTTAATGTAATGAAAGAAACGAATTCTTTTTCCCCCCACTGTCACCCTGAGATTAAATTTGCCATCTACGCGCCACCAGCACAAGGGTGCCGGTGGCGCCTCCTTATTATGCTTAAAACCATGCTCCTGATTTTGCATTATGCTTCATTTAGTGGCTCACTTTAAGAGTGTGCAGAGCCCTTCCACCACCTCCCCCCTCGCCTTCCTCCCTACCACCGACAGGTAAAACTTACAAGGGATAAAAGGCTTGCTGTACTTAAGAAAGAAAAACCTTTACTGGACCCAATCATCAGGCTACGCATAACCAGGCCCCAATAGATTGTGCCAGTAAAAGTAACGTATCATGGTACTAGCATTTCCCGATTTTTTTATAAATTATGCTTAAAATCATGCTCAGTTTTGAAAATTATGCTACATTTTATAAAGTATGCTTTTCAAATATGAAACACAAAACAAGTCAAAA